AAATATAAAATACGCAATTTAGCAAATTTAAATAACCCGGTATCATTGATAACAGTTAATTCGGCACGATGTTTTAGGTTGTTCACGAGATAACCAATATATAAGGAGATTTGAGACGAATTGAAGAGTAGATGAAAAAATAAGACTATTTTTTGAGATGCAAAGGTAGAAATTACATGGAAAATTTACATTTTTACAATGTCTTTCTAAATAGCAAGTTATTAGCCCACAATGCATTGCAAATGAATTCGACTCAAAATGCCTCAAATTAAGATACTTTTATGTTTTGGAGTCAATTAAAACTTAAGTAACATAAATAGGAAATGTACTATTAAATACGATGACGCAGTCCCTAAAATCACTAACTTAGTATATGCCGATATGATTCAGGCAACTTAAGTAGTCAGTTTCTAATATTCAGAAAACGCGATCACGTGTCGGCTGTCCGATGTCTTAATGAGTGGTAATTTATCACATTTACGGAATGTTGAGTGTTATTGCAAATATGTTTACTATTATACTCATATCCTCTTCGGTATTCAAGTTCCCGCTTAATCATTAATTGCTGATTTGAAAATAAATATCCGTGGAGATTTACAAGACGATTTACTTATCTAGTTCGTGATTTTCTGTTGTTCCACGTGTAAGCTATTAACTTAAGCAGTGTGAGTATATGTCTATATCCTGTTCTATCCACGATCAAGACAGCATATGATATGGCCCATTAACATGCTGGACTGCACTCTGTGGCCTACCAATCGAAAGAGCCTTACTACATCAAAGGTGAGACGGAACCGAGTTTTTCTTATATTATAGCACAGATAAGTAATCTAACGCTGTGATTTTATATCCATCGTGGCATCTATTTGCCAAGTTTGTATTATATGTACGGCCATATCCCACATTCTACATAATTAAGCTATTTTACTTGTACAAGTCTTGAAACCGAGCCAGAGGACTTGGTCTGTTGTACCGCGGGCGATGCGAGTGAAAACCAGTTTTTGTTTTAAATATAATTTTTCTATTTTCAGAAATATTTTTGACGGGACCGTGCACAGCATAGCCCAGCAACAGTCAGTCCGATTCACATGCCTTGGCGTACGTCTGCTGTGGTAAAACACACATATCACAGCATATCCCGTCGTTCATTCCTTTCCTTATTAGACCAATGTTTAAATCATCGGAGAGCATGTGCTATTTTTATCTGAGACATGTGTTAACGTTTCTGCGTAATGTCAATACAAACAAAGATATGCCACGGGAGTTCGTAGATTGGCAAATACAACTGTGGACTGGGAGTAGAAACCGATCTCTTATTTTAAGGGACGGATCAATTTAATTTTCAAGGAGCGTGTTCGGATTAGACATGGGAGAAATCGTTACAGAGATACAGTGCTGAAAAATGACGGATTATATTGCCGGTGGCAGTATAACAGAAAAACTGAGAATTAAAATGAACATTGTTATCATATTATGAAGACAGCACTTGATTCTGACGTGTGCTCTGCGACGCCGCAGAGTATCGAGTCTGATTGGATAGGTGAATTCTCATTTACATACGTTACTATTCCGCTTAATCGAACTAACTTTTTTTTTTTCTTGGGGCATACGATAATACCCACCCTGCATCTAGTTACATAGTTGTGACTCATATTAATGTTACTACGGAACACGCCCTAGTGTCGCTCAAATTCTAAACCATCAATAAACCAGTGTACTCAAATCTGACTTATCGACAAGCTGAGCTGAATAATCGAAGCCGTGCAGAAAATAGTCACCGGAAAATGTAGATATCATTCAGTCATGTATACGACAAAACTCCCTAATTTGATCAAAGCTACGTCATCGCAAGATTGACATCTTAATACTTGCATAATTTAAATGTGATGAACAATTCTATGATCCGAGAATGATCGTTCCACAGTTTGAGGCGGCGTCCCTTCATCGCGTGAATCGCCGTCCGTGAGATTTGATCACCTCTCTGCTTCATGATGAATTAGGTAAATGTACATGCATACCAAACTTGCATTTCTAAAAAGTCTTTTTTTTTTCAAATATCTCCGTATTAGCTTTGGAAAACGTTTGCCTGTTTCAGATGGTTCAGAATGTCTTAATTAACTCGAGGGAAAAAGTACCAAGATGTGAAACCAATCAATCATGGTAATTACATAAATATTTGCAGTAATATTATGCGTTGTCAAGAGTGATTTGTTATGACATCTTGTATATACGAACTATAATCCGCGACGGCGAGTATGCCTCAATTAATCTGAGGATATGCTCCTTCAACTGAAGCCCGAAAGGTTAATTGCGCCCTCTATCGACGACATCGTACACTTCCTAGTCATTTGATGGATGGAAATCCCCATAAAACGATTAGTACTATTACGGCCAAATATGGTCTTATAACCCATCATCAATCTTGTAGTAACTCGTATCGACATAAGTAGTACCGCTTATATAGACCCCACCCCTCATTACTGTTTTTCTGTCATTTTATTGCTGACGTATGTCGCCAAAAACTGTTAGAACTCTCGTGAATTGTACGCTGTTGAACAAAATAAACTTAGCAACTGAAAAAAGTTGTTATTAATATATTCCCAGGTGTCACGATAGGATTTTTCGATAATCTTCGCATTTTGGAAGTTCATAAACGGATTGATGAAAGACGATGCGTTGATTTTACGGCGATCGCATGTTTCTCACTCACCTTCAAGTTGTGTGTTTTTTTAGACGAGTAGCGATCGAAATATTATATAGTACTTATCAATTTACTGTTGTACACGCCCTTAAATACCATTTTCACGGTAATTAATATTAGTGCCTTCGCAACAGTTGCAAGACGGTTTAACTAAACTGTTTTTGTCAGTTCTCCTTTCGTCGTCGCGTGCTATGATGAAATGCCAGATCGACATCCCTTGTTTTATCTTCAATGTGGTTGTCACGATATATATATATATATATATATATATATATATATGCATCTTCCTAGAAGTAGTGCATTATGAAATGTAATCCTCTCAAAAACAGTTTTTATTGACGGACGACGATATAAGCAAATTATCAACGTTGAGAACGTCCTTTATTTCGCTTATTCACGTAAGTTCCCTGTCACACCAGGGAACGTTTCTTATCACAACGGCGTAGTTTCTATCAGTTATATTACCCACTTGGCTAGCGCTGTTATAGAGCAGTGGTCGTCGCTCCGTGTCCTGTTCGATGTGAGACTCATAGCGAGGTACACAACGTGAGTAAAATACACTGTTTATTTACAAGAAATTTGAATATGCGCTGCGCGACGACCACTGTCCTTTATATAATATGTGACAATTTACTTGCACATTGGCGGTGTCTACGCCCAATGTATCCAGGAAAGGACAGCATTCGTCGTTTGTAGAAAACTCACACCTCCTGGGGATGCGTCGTGAAATTGGGCGGGTCATTTGGCCATAGAGGGCAGTCGTCTACTACTCGGCGAAGTTTGCCATCCTGGTGTCTGGTGATCATCTGTACGTGTTTTACTCCCAATTTTGAAATTTGCTGTCGCTGTGCTGTTATGACGCTCGCAATCCTAGACACATGAAAATGAAAAA